TGGACTTTGCCTGTGCCTCCCGCCGGCGGAGCCGCTGCCTGCCGGGCCCCGGGGCAGCTCTGGGGGCTCCCGGGCCGCGTCCCGGGACTGCGGCGCCTCTGCTGGGTTAGTCTGAGGTTGTGAGTCTGGTTGCTTGGCTTTTATTTCTCCTGCGAGGGAGGAGAATATGTGCCTGCCCTTCCCAGAGCTCACCGGGATGCAAGGCTGGCAGATGGGGTGTGCTTACTTCATGTTCTTGTAGCTCTCTTTTTCTAGTTCTGTCTTTTTTACAGGATCACAAGTGCGTATCACTTTCTGTGAAAATACATTTGTTTTGGAAAGGGCTAAGTAACGAAGATGCAGATCAGGACTTAACCTCATTTTAAACCTCGTCTCCCAGGGGCAGTATCTAGGTTGCTCTTCCATAGCTGTGTCTGTTCTATAGCTGTTAGCAGGTAGGCAGGTGTCACTGAAGATGGAAAGTAAAAATCATGCGAATAGCTACTGAAAAAATTATCTTCTGCTGAGCATTGTCCTGTCTTTCTTGTAGTTATGTAGGCAGCCACCCTACCCTAGCACTGTTATCTAGCTTAGGGAATTTGTTACTGGAAGTGCCAAGGCTCAAGATCTTGGAGCAGAATTCTGACAACCGGTTGTCAGGACCTTAAGAGAAAACTTGCATTTTGGGGTAGATTATTGCAGAACGTGCTGCAGTGTCATTTGAAGTAGCCTGCACCAGATTCTTCCATTAATGTGGCAGTCTCCAGTGCAAGCTGGCCTTGCTGTGATGTGGACTCAAGACTTCCTGTAATTCTACCAGCTCTGACATGGGGCACATCTCCAAAGGGTTGCTTCATAGAAAAATTAAGTTGTACAAATAATATTGAACATAATTTCTGCACTTCATCCTGTCATTTGTCTGTTAGTCAAACTCTCGACAACCTTCTTTAAGAGAAGGAAAAACTTTTCTCAGTCTTCACTGAAGTCTCCCTACTCTCAGGAAGCAACTGAAGGTTGTAACAAGTATGTAGCATTGAGAGTAGTAGTATGAGAGTAGTATGTAGTATGAGAGGCCATAATGTAACTATACATGTTTCTGCCTTGCATAGATTTTAGTTCCAGCATTCCACTGTACTCTTTCCGGGTATGTGAAGAACAGGGTGTTTCTACAGCCGTGTCACCCATAGGAGTGCATTGCGGGTGTAATATGTACTGTGCCTGTAGCGGTATGGATTTCTTTAGCCCCAGCATGTTCTCAAATCACTTGCTTTACTAGTGAAAGTGAAACAGACTGTATTAACAAAACCTCAGCTTTGCAGGTTCAGCTGTATTTGTTGCATGGGCTTTAGCCAGTACATCTGACTTGTTTTGGGACTCAGTCCCTGGGATAGATAATTTTTTGTAAGATAAATACAGCCTGAGCAGCTTAATTCCTGAAAAAAGAATAGCCTTTAGCTTTTATTTTGGTTTTTTTGGGTGGAGAAACATGTCTAATACAATAGTTTTATATCTAGTTTTATATAGTTTTATATCATTCTATTCTGAAAGTCTCCAGCTAGCTCACTGTCAGTGCAAAAAGGGATATGCAGCCATCTTACTTGACTTAGAGGTGTATTGTTTTAATTACAGATAACAACAATACACTTAGTATCTACTATTTTATCTTGGTTGCCAATGTTGTTGAACTTCATAGATTAGGGCATTATGTTTTTAGCAGATAAAGAAGTCACCTTCCTTTTTCCCAAATTTTGTCTGTACCGTAAGGAATTATTACCTAGTCTGACAGAATTCATAACAGTTAGAAATGACTGAACCTACTGTGTACTTTTACTCAGTTATTTTAAGTATGAAATGATACTACTTCAGATAATACAGTAAGATTGGCTGACCTGTGCTATGTACTCTGACTTGCTCAGCCACTGAAGAAAGGAGTTAAATGAGATGGGTACATCTGCGCCCTTCAGCTGCACCTGTGTCTTCCTCAGTGCTTCGAAAATACCTTTGATTCATCCATGGCATTCACAACACTAGTAAACAATAAAAAAGTAGTAAGAAGTAAAATATTTGTATTATATTTCTGCTTCAATTAATTTCTTTCTTCGTATGCCTTAGGTTTTTTTGGCATCTTTTAACCTACCCTAAAGGACTCAACAGCCATACCTAGTATGATACTGTTCTCTTGTTGGTGGAGGGGACTGAAAGACTGGATCATGAAAACTTTCCTGCAACTTAAAAAAATCAGCCAAAGGAAAGCTTTAGTCCAGAAGATTCTACAAAGTAATGTGATGGTTGATTCAAATAATTGTTGCCTATATTTTCTACTCTGTAATGTGTTATTAAACATGCATAGTTTAGAGATTTTTACAGGGAATAAACTGTGGTTTTTATAGGCAAGCCTTTGCTAACTGAAGTGTGTGATAAACATCACAAATGTTAAGCTAGGAGTTTAACAGAATCCTACAGATTACTTAACAGATGCAGCAAACCAGATTTCCATACGGATAAATGTGGCCTTTGTTACCTTGTACTGACAGAACGTTCTTTAGATTCAAATAAAGTCTCTTTTGTTCTTTACTGTTTTTGTAGTTCCTCAATGGAAAAGGTGTTAAAAACAGCCTGTGGCACTATGGAAGCATGGAGACAAAATAATCATCTGTGGAGACCCTCAAGGAACTACTGGGGAAAGTGATCAAAATGAAGAGTTTGAACCATCGCGTCAGGATGGCGGCAGCTGAATCTGACAAAGACTCTGGATATTCAGGTTTGGAAAACCACTGCATTGCCTTTTTTTATCTTACCTTGCTCAGACTTTTATTGGTGATGTTTGACAGATCTGATTCTAGCACCCTACACTTTGAGTCTCATTACCTCAGAGGTTCTTTGTCTGCAAGACACGTTACGTATGCAATCATCCTACCATCAGACCTTTTTAGGGTGGAGCTTTATGTAGCTATGAAGTTCATCGTGTGAATTTGAATGGCATGGGAATTTAAAATGTGCCTGATAAAAAAATGAGTGGAAGAATCTCAGATTTCAGAGTCTACAAGTAGGGATGGCAAAATTACTTTGCTTTTTTGGAGTGATGAATGAACTGTTGGATTATGCCATCTGATGTCTTCTACGAGTTGACCGGATTGTCAGTAGAGCCTGATAAACCAGAGAGTAATTGATATAACATGAGTAAAATATAGACACAGTGTGCCATTTTAATACTCAATAAAACTGTGCAATAATTGCCTTTGAATTAAAAAAAAAAAAAAGTGCTTTTGTGAGAGATACCTGCCTCGTTTGGGTTGTAGATAGAAGATTTCAAGACACTCCATGTCTTTAACACAGGCTGTGGCTGTGGCAATGCTGAGCCTGTGGTTCTTTCCTGTACCGAATTTTAGAGCAGTCTTCATAGTAGTGGACAGTCACTTGCAGGCTTAATTCAGAAGAACAGAAAGTAATAGATTTTTTTTGGAAGACAATATCTGCATAAAAACTGGCCTGAACTATGAAGTCTTTTATTGGTGTTATTGGTGTTCCAGAACTAAACTCTATTGTTCTTTGTGGCATGGTTGAAAGGAGACTGCAGAATAGTAGAACCAAGAGGAGGTAGTAATTGTGCTTCATGTGAAATAACTAACAGCTGAATTCTACATCTGGCAGATGGAAGTTCAGAATGCCTGAGTGCTATGGAGCAGACTGACTCAGAGGATGTGCTGAATGCCTTGTGTTGGAATGCAGAGGATGGGCCTTGGCAATGCCCAGTGACCACGAGCAGCTCCTTTCCTGCGCTTTCTCCTATGGTTGTTATGAAAAATGTGCTAGTTAAGCAGGTGGGGAAGAAGTAATATGTTGAAAAAATATTGCATGTCCTTAAATTGTTGTGGTTTTAAAAAAAATTTTTTTCCTTTAAAAAATATTTTACAAAGTTGTTGCAGTCTAGAAAATAACTGATAGCCTGAAAAATTCTTTTGTGAGAGCCTGTTCTCCTTGGGGGAATCACTAAGATGAAAATAATGTGAAATGAAGCAGTTATTCTACATTTACTAAATCTCTATCTCAAAGGGATCTCCCCCAAAATAAATCTTTAAGAATGTTATGTAAATAGTACCAAAGATCAAACAAAAAAAGTTTTTCCTTTTGAGAACAGATGTTTACTTTTTTCATTCAGTAGAGACAGTCAAGTAGGATAGGTTTTGCTTCTTAGTTCTTTGCTCCTAGCAGTGCTTCACATGCAATGGGAAGCTCTAATCCAGAATGTTACAAATGAAAAAATTGAACAGATATCTGAAGTTAGTTATGCTGTTTAACTGTTATTTCTCTTCATTGCATGTAATGGCTCACATTGCAACAAAATTATGCCCTACTGATGTCCTCCAATATATTGTTAGGTGTTGTTTCTCCAACACCTCTGTGAGATTTGTAACTTTTACAATGTAGCAGAAGATAAAAGAGCTCAAAGTTCAAAGTATTGCCATATTATTAGGCCTCTTGTTCTGTGCTCAGCCACATTTTTGCAGCAGAGCAGTTCTTCAGCATTTTTTATTAGAATGCTTCTGACCATACAGTGAGAAGTGGAAGAAAGAATATACGTCCTGATTCTTTTTCTCCTGAATCTGATATGACAAGAAGCAAAACCTATTAAATATCAGGGATAACACAGGTATGGGTTTCTGTTAGTATTTAGCAGATTATGCATTTGTGGGGGAGATAGTTCTCATCTCTGAGAATTGTGCTTTATCTTGACAAGAAACAATTTTAATTTATAGTCATGTTTCTAGATGTGTGGACAAAATACTGTCTAAAAAGATGCCACACAATTTTCATATAGTAGGGAGTAGACAAGTTTCACCAAAGGTTGATAGCCTTTGGCTCAGAGCTCAGAAATAAAACGCTTATTGCAGTGATAGTGTAACGGTAAACTCCAGGTTGTGTTGAAACCAGTTAGGAGAAGTATCTAATAATAAGTATCTTATATATATACACACACATTTTAAAAACTTGGTAATGTGGCAAAAAAGGAATTTGGGGAGGAAGAGTTGGTGTTAGATAAAATTACCAGGCTGTTCTCTTGGAACAACGTGTCATTACATCCAAGCCTAACTACGAATGGTTAAGAACAATAATGTTAAATTGAAAATAGTTTACTTCAATAAACAAAACCAGTAAGTCTAGGTCAGAATAATAATGAAGTGTCTTTCTGCCTCTTTCCATGATGCCTGATTACCTCAGATAGTCATGCTGGTCTTCTTTGCAAAATGATCTTGTCAACACAGCACTCGGGCCTGCTACCCAGCACCCCTCCCCCCCCCCCCAAAAAAAAAAAAAAAAAACACCCC